AATATCATATCCTGTCTGTGGACAATATCATATCCTGTCTGTGGATAATATCATATCCTGTTTGTGGACAATATCATATCCTGTCTGTGGACAATATCATCCGGTAAATGGACACTAAAAATATTCCCCAAACTATATAACAGTCTATCACCCATTTACTTCAGATGGCGTAACATATGGAGAGGTAAGAGCATGTGGTGTGCGGAGGAGACTTCTGCATATACCAGAATGTTTATCAGAATACCAGCAGTATCAGAATGGTTTCTCTTTATCTTATCAAATCTAGTCTCAGTGGTGTCACCCTAGTAACATGTAGCACCTTTAGGTCTCAAAAGTTACCAAAATACCATATTACTAAATGCTACGATGATTTAGGACTGGTGACGCTATATAGTACTAGTAAGCACTTATGTAATACAAATCCAGATGCTATAAGGAAATAAAACCCAAATTAAATTACATGTATCAGCCATCAACATAACGCATCAACAATGGTACATCGTATAGTTCGTTTTCCAGCCTATGTGATAAATCTGAAATTAAACCATCTATTTAAACATGAAAAGTACAATACATTTAATCACATAGAAGCCAGTTGATGATAAGCGGACCAAATGCTAGTAGTTTTGTTACAAGTCAGTATTTGGTCAGGGGTACGGTCAATGGGAAGGTATACAGGTACACGTTTTATGTTCGACCTATCTGGGGATGTGAAATAAACACCTCTTAAAACAAAGAATCACGACATCATGACAGGGAAGTCCTATTTCGCCATTACTACAGTGTATTGACAATACAAATCTTCAGTTGATTTTTTTTCAAAATAAGTTAACACTATCGCAATATAATCACAATGTACAATAAACATTTACTGTATACAGTTGTGGTTTGAAGTAAATATCGAGTGTTTGCACGAGTTAGTGACTTGTATGTCGTTTGACATTTTTTAGTAAGGATATATCTTTGTTTTAGAAAGCTGGACATGTTACATGAACAATTTTGCCACTCGTTAAATACAAGATTAAAGTTGTATTGTGTTATATTTGGTTGACCTGGGCTTGGTTTGATAACGCTGAATGTGCATTAAATGTAATCATATGATGAGTAAAACTGAACTAACTGGCACTATACTTCTTTTTAAAGGTTCATTAATTCATTTTTTTCGTTTCTCATGAGCATATTCTTATTTTCGGGAACTAATTACGTTGTTGAGTTTTGTACTCCTCGTCCTGAATGTACGTTAAAAAAGTATCTGTCGTCAGAATGACATTATTTTCTACTATGAAATCTCAAGTGCCTTATATTATCAATTACGTGAAATGTATCTTGTACCGGTGGTTATCATCATGTTTTGCTGGTTTAACTGTGGGGATCACGACGGGTACTGTAGATTCACGAAACACTTACTACCTCAGCACCTGATTTTGCATTTGTTCTTGTGGCGTTCATATTGTTCATGTTTGACTATTTTTCTGTGTCAGCCCCGTTTTTTGAGTTTCGATGAGACAAGAAGACTAGTTCGATACTTTGATGTACATCAAAAGAATTTCGCGGTCACGTAACGTAAAAATTGACAGGCTTTGAAGTCGGGCGTCTCTCCTTTGAAATCTTCAAAGGACAGGTATCGGCCTAGCGATTGGTCATTTTTTTTTGTACCTGAGACCAATCAAACAGCTATCTTCGTGCCTTCAATTTTGCTATGACATATTCCAGGGGTGTAGAGAGCGAAAGTAAGCGTAACCGCTGGATTTCGAGGATATGTATTATGGGGCACGTTCTTGTTAAAAGCAACTTGTGATTGGAAAACTTAACACCATTAAGAAGACATAAGAGTTGTCAAAACTGAAGTTCTGATATAACTATCGTAAATGTAAG